ATCAAGCGCCTTCTCTCTGCATAAACTCTGGCTCTGGCCCTTCAGGATGAAATCTAGATGCTGTTTCTGGCATTCAAGGCTCTCTATGGCCTGAGCCGGCCATTGCTTTAAGTTCAGTTCTCAGAACCAGCGCTGCTCTCCTGCTCCGCATATGACACAGCAGTTCAACTCCCGCTGTCCCCCACCCTGAATGAGTTTCCTGGGTGCCGCTCGACCCTGCAGCTCCCTGCATTCTCCTGTGTTGTGACTATCTGTTCACTTATCTACTCTCCCCACACTAAGGTCCCGGGGACAATTATCCAAGGGCAGGGCCACATCTGTCCTGCTCCACTATGTTCCCATAACACACGCAAGTTTGCCCAAAACAGGCAAGTCATGAGTGTGGCTCCTGCCCTCAAGAGATTTACTGGGACAGTGACAGAGAGACTGCAAGTGGCTACTCTGGACAGCCTCATTCAAGGATCAGCCCTTCAGATGACCTAACACCAGCAAGTTTCCGGGCACCTCCTATGTACCAGGCACTGTGCTAACAAGGGGGTTACATCCAGGATCTCATTTAATCCCCCAACAAACCTGTTAGGGAGTGTCCCCTTCACTCCACGGGTGGGGAGACTGAGGTTCAGGATGGCTAACAGACTGCGAGGCTGCAAGCATGTAGGCAGGAGAGCTGGGACTCGCCCCAGCTCGCTGCCTCTGCCACCCTGACCTTGACCTGTGTTGTCCCGCAGCTCCTCAAAGCTAAAGTCCTAAGACTGACTGGCTGACTGACGGGTGCACTCCTGCTTCAGGTGAGTCACACCACCCCCTCTCAGCAGTGAGACCCAACCCTGGCTCCCCCCACCCCCGGCCCTCCACCCCCGAGGGAGGCCCGCATACTTGGCCCGATTTTCTGGAATGGTTCCGGGGGCTCTTCCTTCACCTCATCAGTGGCAACGACGCCTTGGTCGAAGGGGTCTGTGAAGAACACATGGCCCTTAGCATCCTGGTCAGCCAGGTTTCAGGGACCCAGCTGGGGACAGGGGAGATGGGCAGCCACCGAGGACTTACCTGCCCGATTCTCGGGGGCCCCTTCCACACTAAACACTGCGCCCAGGCGGGAGGAGGCAGCCGCAGAGGAAAGAAGCAAACGGGACCCTGTTAGTCCCGGCCCACAGTGCCCAGCCTCGGTCCCAGGGCGTCTGCCTTTGGGGCCCAGGAGGGCCATCTCGGACAGCATGGAAGCCCCACGAACACAGGGGCCACATCAGGGCACGGCCCAACCAGGAGGCAGCCGTGGTTCAGTCCTTGTTCTTGCTACAAACAGGCGCCCACCCTAGGCTGGGGCGGGTGGACGCTTTCTGCATGGACCCGTTTCCAGATCACCAGCATCCACTTGCAGGCCCAGGCAGGAGAGAGGAAAACATGGGAGGACAGAAAAAGTGGAGGGGAGAAGCCAGAGGACTCGTGGAGGCCTGGGGGTCACGGCTTGAGATGATGGGGGTGGGGGTGGGGAGAGAGGGGGACCCTGCAGGCCTTTCTAGGCCCCAAACCCTCTTTCTAGGAACCTTAAGACTACACATGTTAGCTAAATTTACTGTTCTAATTTCTAACTCTCTAACCTAAGGTGCTAAAATGCCATCACTCATTTTTAAAAATTGTTTTAATTTCACCAGAGCAGGTGAATACAGAATATGAAACTAGAAAATGATTCCAGTCGGAAGTGAAGATACGCGACTGATTATGACCTACAAAAAAATGGCAATTTTGCTCAGGTTAACCTACATAGACGTTTATGTGGAATGTGAAGGGGACGTTCCTCCCCCAGAATCCTCCAGGGTCAGCCACTCCCTGTGCGGAGCCAGCTGCCAACGACACCTTCTCTGCGTAGGAGGAGGGAGGGTGGTGGGCTGGGGCTTGGTGGGCAGTGCCCGCATCCCTGAGGGAGGGCACCAGTCCACCTGACTGCAAGGAGTGAGGGGCCTGACTCACCATCCACTGCATGCAAGTCCCGATGCTCTTGGAAACAGCTGTAGTATTTGTACTTCTTCCCGCAGATGTCGCACGTGTACCTGAAATTGTCTGCGGAGGTGAGAAAGACACACGTGGTTACCAGGGCTTTGGTCACCAGGGTGGGATTCTTTGGCCCTCTCAGGAACCAAAATGGGGCCACAACCCAGTCCAGCTGGGTTCTAGTTCTAGTGCATGAGTTCACGGGGCAGCAGCTCTGGCGCCCATGGTGCCCTGGCGCTGGCCTCAGCCCTCCCCTCCAGGCCAGCCCTAGATGACTTCCTGGGACCACAGGGTCTGAGCTGGAGTAGAAGGGGTTCTCTGTGGCAATCCAAATCACACAGGGCCACCAAGGAACCTTGAGGTGACTCCCAGCCAACCCCTAAACCTGCCCTAAGTGAGCTGAATTCCTTAGGCCCTGACTCACCACTGGTTCTACCTCCCTCCCCCGGAGTCATGTGAGAACAGCACTCACTGTGCATGAGGCATTTCTGTGAGCAAGGGGCCAGGCCAGCCCTTCCCCTATATTGCCTCAGGACCAAGACAGAGGAAGGAAGTAGTCTCTCA